CCTGAAGCAGAAAGCCTGCCATTCAGGCTTCCAGACCCACCAGGCAGTGTTCCTGGCCTGCTAGGTATGTCAGCGCTGTCTGGAGTACCTAGAACCGTGGTCTGCAAACCACAGCTCATGAGCCACATGCGGCTCTTTGGCCCCTTGAGGGTGGCTCTTCCACAAAATCCCACGTGCGAGCACGCACATACAGTGCGATTGAAACCGTGGCCCATGCACAGAAGGCGGTATTTTGTGGAAGAGCCACACTCAAGGGGCCAAAGAGACACATGTGGCTCGTAAGCCGCAGTTTGCTGAGCCGCAGTTTGCTGACCACTGGTCTAGGGGATCTTGTCCTGTAACATCTACTCCTAAAGTTAGTCCTAGCCAATCTCTTGGCCTAAAGACTGAAATATCCAGGTCATTCAAGTTATCTATAATCAATAACTTAACTGGGTAAGCATGATCCTGATTATACACATTTCCCCTGCAATTTGCCAGAGCCCTAAAGCAAATAGACAGCTTACAGTTTCTTTGGTGTTAACTTTAAGGGGCTATGTCCTGAAATGGCCATCCAAGATGAGGTGTCTCCACCCAGAGAGGCTGATGGTACACTCCCAACCTGAGTGGGATGGGTCCAACCTTGTTCTGCAGTCCAAACAGCAGTCTCAGTGGTAATGTAGTCTCCTGGTTGATGGTGATGAGCCAGGAACTCAAGAAGAGGGCTTTGAGCCAGGAGGCCTTCTAATCTGAGAGACATTAAAATAGAAGAGATAGCCAGTACATAGTTCTTAAGAATTTGTCCCTAGTCTCCATTGTAGGGAGAGCTTGAGCCATACCGGGCCTATTGGAATCACCTAAAGCCAATTCTAGGTCAAGAAAAAGTTTAACTTCATTTGTCCTTGGGTGTGGTCAGCAAATGACACTAATTGGATTTCTGCTACCTGTCTCCCTGAGTATGATCATATAAACTTTTTATATGAACTCTTGTTAGGGAGGCAAAATGTAAATCACTTACTCTTAAGTGTCCTTGGTTTATGGAAGATGGGATTTACTAAATAGCTCCAAATTGCTGTTTAACCATCTCCGTTTCCTATTCTACTTGTCCCGGCTTACTGGGCTGTGTCATTTATATAACTTCCTTTCAACAGTTCTCTTTACAAACATTCCTCAACGTTCACAAACCCTTCCTCATAAATCTTACAACTTTCAGAACCCACTTTCTTTTTCCTTCAAAATGGCACCAAAACCATAATTTCTTCCCAATTAGTTAGAATTCTTAACCCTTAGAAACCTTAATTTTTAGGTGACATGTAAGTAATTAACATTCCTCAGAGTAGCAATACATTCACAATTTTAAGGGATATTTTAAATAAAATACAAGACTTATTATTCATTAACAGATTCAAATCTATCCTCTAGATTCTCCATACATGGCAAACTGAGGTTAATATTTCAGTATCCTGGTATTTCAAAATACCTAGATATTTAATCATTTTTTTACCATTTAACCCAGCAAACTCGAAGTTTTAAGTTACTAAAACTTTGGAAGTTACTAAAAGGTTTTGGAAAACTATGTTTAGGCATATATAACTATTATCATATACACTTAATTTTTTTATATTTACAACAACTTTGAAATTTTAAAGCTAACTATTATTACTCAAAGCATTTTATTGGCAATTTTGTAACAGGGACAACTCACCAGCCTTCAGTGGCTTTAATGTGAAAGTACTATTTATTTTATTTTTCTTTATAAAAACGGGAGTGACTCTGCCTACCTCCGCTGCCCCATTGCTATCACTCCAACTTGCTAGAGGGCACTTCTGCAGATCTGTTCCTCCCAGTGTTAGAGGCAAAAATCTGGAAATTGTACACCCCTGGGACCTGGTAGTCAACTTTGGACCTGGGAGTCAACCTTGGAATGTAGTCCATTCTCATTCAAGACCTGCCTATGATCATGGAAAGGTTAACAACGTTGTTGCTCAAACAATGGAGTCCCACCCCAGCCCACATCACTTACTTCCCCGGGGCTGTAATCCCTACTTCCTCATGTAATCTTTGTCCCTATGTTCATAAACCAGGGAAGAACAAACTAAGCCCCCAAAAGATAGACAGCAAACAAAGTAAACTGGTAACCTAAATTACATTACAGACACACAGAAAAGAACTCTCACTAGCTCAGAGTTTCAGGCAGCTGATGCCCTGAGAGGGAAAGCGAGAAGAGTCCCAAAGATTAAGAATTCTTGGCAGCTGCTGGACGTTCCTGCAATCTCTGCCACATGTTCAGCCTTGCCACAAATAGCTGGGCTCCCCCAAAGTGGGACATGCCCTATCTTTAAATAAATTAAACCAAAAAACAAAGAGACACAAAACAGAAACACTCTTATATACAACCAGAGGCCCAGTGCACGACATTCGTGCACTGGGGGGTGTGGGGTCCCTCAGACCGACCTGCACCCTCTCTAATCTGGGAGTTTCTGTCTGTCTTTGCAATCATATGAGCAAATTGTCTGAGACCCCAACTCAGTTTGGTTTGTTGCTCACAGAATAATAGAGGCATTTTTTTTTCGTAATTTTGCTACTGTTATGAATCTTAATGTAAATATCTGATATGCAGGATGGTCTTAGGCAACCCTTGTGAAAGGGTCGTTCGACCGCCGAAGGGGTCACTACCCACAGGTTGAGAACCGCTGTTGTAGACGGTGGCATAGATGAAGGACAGGGCATGCATCCTCCATCCACCACAGTGCACTCAGGCCTTCTCACTCTAAGTGCCTGTAGTTCCCAGACTTCCCAGCAGGGAGAGACACCACTCCACTACCAAGACCACCAAAGGGGTCTCCCAGGGATATTACAATCTTGAACTGTCTGCGCAAGAGATGCTATCTGCCCAGACACAAAGACCCCTTAGCTGGACTGGAATCCCCCTCAGGCCTTCCCTTCCTCCGTTTCTATCTCCACCCACCCCGAATTTCCCACTTTGACTGAGCCCCACCCTCCCTGAGTGTCCCCTCCACTTCTTGTGGGGACTGGCCCCTCCTGAATGGGAGTAGGGAGAGGACTTGTCCTAGTTTAGGGCCTGGGACCGAGAAATTGCCTGAGGGAACCACATGAAGAAACCATACAGCTGGGTGAACATTGCTGCCTCCCTGTCCCTCCCTACTGAGAAGTGGGGGTCTGTTCTCCCTGCCCCAGCAAATAGCCCCAGCAGAGCCTTGACCTCCTGCACCCTTTTCCCTGGCCTGCACTCCACCCTCTCCCTGGCCTGGTTCCTGCAGCCCTCCTCCCCACCTCTGTGATGGTATTGGGGGTCGCTTGGAGTCCAGCTGGTGGCCAGCACAGAGCCACCCCTTTTCTGGCCCTGCCCCTCCCCATGACCCCAATCCTCTACCAGCCACTCAAAGGAGCCTTGTTCTCTATCCAGCCCCCAGACAAAAGTCTCTCTGTCTAAAAAGGCGGAATTGGGGGGAGGGGGCACCCCAACGGGGACCAAGTGGGGGCATGCACAGACCCCAGC